ATAATTTTTATTTATTATTATTAAGTTTTTATTTTAAAATATACTATTTAACATCAGAAGTCATTGTGTTTCTTTCAGATATTTATTTATTTTTCCTTTTTTTTCTTATTATTATTTTCCTTTGAAATTTTCACTTTATCTACATGATACAAATATTATATTCTTAAAAGTTTTAATAATAATAATTATAATGATATTTTGATTGAACAACTATAAGTTTCAAAATAAATTCAAATACAAATTTATAAATAATTCACTGGACAAACTTAAATTTCATTACAAAATTCAGCAATAACAATTTTTTTTTAACATTTATCAATGGAATTTATCACATGTTAAATTAACTGTAAATTTTTAATATGTGAAAACAATCATTTTGAATACTATGAATAAAATCAATAATAATTATCCAATATTCAATTATGCAATTTTTATCCATAATAAAAAAGACAATGAAGTATCTTTTATTATGTATCTTCATTCTTTTTTCACTACAATATTTTAATTAATTATCTCAAATAAAATTAATTTTAGAGAAACTAAACTAGCTTAGTTCTTCACTAAAAGCATTTGAAAACTTAAAAGATCTATTTTATATTTGATCGTAAAGAAATTTTAATCTATTTCTAATATNCTCTGGTGTATTTACACCAAGAATTATGCTTGTCCAGCTTCTCGACGTCACGAATTAGCGACATCTCGTGGTAAAAAACAGAACTACGGCTCGGAATCGTTCTGTAATTAGACGCCAGTTACCCCGATGGGTCAACGACGGGTCTCTATTGTGTTACGGATCTACTCTCTCTATTGTGTTATGGATCAAAGCGGCACCTGGTAGACATAATTGAAACTAATTGTGACGTTTTTCTGGAAAAAACCACTGGTGATTCTACGCATTTCAATTCTAATCGCGTTACCGCCAGTCAAAACTTGACCGAGATATCGATTTTCAAATTTTAACTAACCTTTCGATCACCCCGTGTGCAATACGGTAATTTGGTACCGGGTAGAGAAGAGAGATAAGACAGCGCCACGCCAAAGCAATTTGCCGAGAGGAGGATATATCTCAGCTTTCGGGGAAATTTCAATAAATAATGCGTATTTATCTTTATATAATATATTCAATATAATTTAGTAAACCCATTTCTTAAACAGAATTTTTCAGCCACTACCAATAAATGAAGTCGTCGCTAGTGGACGGATCCATCTATTTAGAATCTTTCTACCCGTACGATGTTATGGGTTTTAATGCCTTTTAGTTTCCTCGGCTGTTATGTACAGTACAGTACAGTATATAACACGGGAAAGCGGGACTGTGCACTCCTTTTTATTTCCCAACTTGTTACGTGTATATTACTTTCCCGGCAGTTATAGAGTATAGGCCCGTAACAAAAGAAAAGAATGACGATCAGTCAAAAAATGATTTCCCCAGATTTTTACTCTTTCGGACTCTTATGTGTGTATGCGTCCGCTTATTTTAATATCTCGAGAAGAGATAACGATTAAGAGACGAAATTTGGCACGGGAGCTGATGTATAAGGGGCATTGACGCTATTAAATTTTTTCGCTTAAAGGTCGAGAGGTCGAGGAGATAGAGAGGAATTATATGTCATATCTCTAGTGCTGTTGTACTTAATTAATTGACTGGATGGTGACAAACGGATCTTCTTCGAATCTTTCCATCCGTACAGATTCGTTCCCCAAAAATTCTTCCAAAATTTACACTATTTCGTTCGATTACCTTGCCCTTAGTCACTCCCTTTTACTAAAATATTTCTCTCTCGATAGTAAGTTTACGCTTACATGTATGGGCGGTAAAAGTGTCCAGTGCATATAGAAGTATGCAGACTAATTTATAAGAAATTTCACATCGTATATTATTTGTTTCAACTCTTAAAAATTAATTAAATAGGGAACGGAAGGGAAATTTTAATACTATAAATCAAACGATACATCGAACAAACGATACAACGAATAAAGTGAAAAATGCTCGAATAATTGTAATATAAGTAAGAACAACTATCAGCTAAATAGATAAAATATTTAATATTAATGCCAAAAATTATTATTCGATAAATTTTACAAACAATAGGATCCACGCGAACAATGTGCCAAGACGATTCGATGGCTGCGTCTTCTTGTCCAACGCTGAAATCACAGAATCTTCCTTTCTGACAAACAACTAA